TAATTATTATTATTATTATTATTATTATTATTTAAACATACAAACAATGTGTTATATGTTTGTGCCCTCACAACCTCTGAGGATGCTTGCCATAGATGCAGGCGAAAGGTCAGGAGAGAATGCTTCTGGAACATGGCCACACAGTCCGGAAAACACACAACAACCCAGTGATTCCTGCCATGAAAACCTTTGACAACATTGTTTGTATGTTTAAAATGATAATAATAATAATAATAAATTATATAATAACAATAATAATAGACACTTATATATTATTATTTGAAACATACAAACGATGTGTTGTATGTTTGTGTCTTCACAACCTCTGAGGATGATTGCCATAGATGCAGGCAAAAGGTCAGGAGAAAATGCTTCTGTAACATGGCCACACAGCCTGGAAAACACACAACAACCCAGTGATTCTGGCCACAAAAGCCTTCGACAATACATGAGAGCCATGTTGAAAGGATGTCCTAAGGAAGAGGGAGCAAACCTTGTTTTCTGATGCCCTGGAGACTAGGACTCAATGGAGCAATGGGTTCCAATGACAGGAAAGGAGAACCCACCTAAACCGTAGGAAGAACCTCATAGAATCCTAGAGTTGGAAGAGAACTCATGGACCATCCAGTCCAACCCCGTTCTGGCAAGAAGCAGGAAAATTGCATTCAAAGCACCCCCGACAGATGGCCATCCAGCCTCTGTTTAAAAATCTCCAAAGAAGGAGCCTCAACCACACCCCGGGGCAGAGACTTCCACTGCTGAACAGCTCTCACAGTCAGGAAGTTCTTCCTAGTCTTCAGATGGAATCTCCTTTCTTGTAGTTTGAAGCCATTGTTCCGCATCCTAGTCTCCAGGGAAGCAGAAAACAAGCTTGTTCCCTCCTCCCTAGGACTTCCTCTCACATATTTATACATGGCCCTCATCATATCTCATCTCAGCCTTCTCTTCTGAAGGCTAAACATGCCCAGCTCTTTAAGCCGCTCCTCATAGGGTTTGTCCTCCAGACCCTTGATCATTTTAGTCACCCTCCTCTGGACACATTCCAGCTTAGCGTCAACATCTCCCTTCAATTGTGGTGCCCAGAATTGGACACAATATTCCAGGTGTGGTCTAACCAAGGCAGAATAGAGCATGGGGAGCATGACTTTCCTGTTCAGCAGTGGAACTCTCTGCCTCAGAGTCCAGTGGAGTCTCCTTCAGATGATAAAAAGTACACTTCAAGGTACTTTTAAGAACATCGACTACAGATTCAGTTATGTTTGTCCGCCTTTTTTGTTGACTTAGGGCACCCCTCTTACAAGGTTTTCTCAGCAAATTAGATCAGTGAAGATCAGAGGCTGAGAGAGTGTGAGGCTCCATCTACACTGCCACTTAATGCAGTTTGAAGATGCAATAGGACTGTAGGTTAATTCCCTCGGATATGGTTTTTCCTTTGAGGGAATACAAGATTCCTCCCCTTCCTCTCCTCTCTTCTGTTAAGTTAATTGAGACCAAGCTATTTCCGAACTTTTGGAGTCATTTGATGCCAAAAAGGGGAGGAAGGGAGAGAAACCAGGACTTTGTAAAAGCAGCAGAAACAGTGGGACAGCGGGTGGTGAATCGGCTAAATCGGGACAGTGGAAGATATACGGGTGCTGCTGCAGCTGGTTGGGAGTTAGCTGCATTAAAATCACTACTGACCGAAAGGTCATGAGTTCGAAGCCAGCCCGTGTCAGAGTAAGCTCCCAACTATTTGCCTAGCTTGCTGTTGACCTTTAAAGCTCGAAAGACAGTTGAATCTGTCAAGTAGGAAATGTAGGGACCGCTTATGAGGGGAGTCTCATTTAACTAATTTACATTGCCATAAAACTTTCCAACAGCATGCAAAAGAATGAGGAAGTACTCCATTGGTGTCACAAGTGGATGCGACAGCTCCCCCGGTGGCTGGAATCAAAAAGCATACCCTCATGAAGCTGGAAAGATAAATAGCCTCTGTGTCTCTGTCTATATATGTTGTGTGTCTATGGCATTGGATGTTTGAAATGTATATGTGCATTGTGATCTGTCCTGAGTCTTCTGCGGGGTGAAAAGGCGGAATATAAATGCTGCAAATAAATAAATAAATAAATAAATAAATACTAACATTGAGGCCTTTCTCCCACTGAGGCCTCTCTCACTCTGAGGGTTCTCTCAGACTGAGGCCTCTCCCACACGGAGGCCTTTCTCCCACAGAGGCTTCTCTTACACTGAGGCCTCTCTCACTGAGGTCTGTTAACATTGAGAACTCTCTCAGACTGAGAGCTCCTAAGCTACAGACACACCTGCTTATATTGAACTGCAACTTTTGCTGAGTTGTGTGTCTATGGCATTCAATGTTTGCCATGTATATGTGCATATGTGATCCGCCCTGAGTCTCCCGCGGGGTGAGAAGGGGGGAATATAAATACTGTAAATAAATAAATAAATAAATAAATAAATAAATAAATGTAGAGCAGTGGAATCCAATGCGTATCCCTACAGATGTTTGGGAATTCAGCTCCCAGAATCCATGGCCGTTGGACAAGCTGGCAATAGGAGTTTCTGGGAGCTGGAGGCCCAATCTGTGGGAAGGACCCTGCGCTGATATAGAAGAATTGGAGTCCAACAACAAACAATGGGAGGGCAATGGGAGCTAACTAGCTTACTAAGTCTTATCTTCTAAAGGAGGTAAAAAGTAAAAAGATCCATGCAGCTACATTTTGCCTAGAGAGAGGCAAAATGCGTCCTTACTGGAAGAAGAAAAAAGGGAGAAGAGGAGACTTAGTAAGCTAGTTACCTCCAAGAATGTATTTCTTTTACTTCAAGAAATATTTTCAACTCGACAATCCTGTGTTGGAGCTCAGCCTGTGAATGTGTTTCAGGATCAGGGTGCTTTGGATGTGGGGAGTGATGTCAATGAGTTTCAAGATGGGCATGGTTTGACCAGTGATATTGATGCAGAGAATGACCAGGACATCCCTGTTCAAAGTGTCGTTTCCCATGAGAATGTCCCTGAGGGGTGTGGGGATTATGATGTGCTTTCTGAATTGTTACCGGAGAATTCCCATAATAGGGAACATGAAAATAGCTCGGCACCTGGGCCAGCTGCAGAAATTAATGAGCAAATACATAGACGGGAGGAGATCAGTCAAAACAGGAGAGCCGAACAGTGGCTTCGGCGGTCTGCCAAGCTCCGAGAGAAAAAGATCAGAAATTCTCAGCTAAAGTGAAACCAATTTCTGAGTGCTAGAGACATAGCTAACGAGGAGATAAAAGTCCCAAGTACAGGATATGTAGTCAAATGAAGCATCGTTTGGAATCGAGTCAAGATCTTGTCCTTGTTCATGGAAACTTTGCTTGGGAAATTCATATTTAAGTGCTTTCGATTCATGGTTTTGGTCTATGCTTTTATATTGATGCCTTGGATTCATGTTTCCTGATTTCTTGCATTTTGTTTGGAAAGTTTTGACTTTTTTTATGGACTTTGCTGGACTATTACCCTAGACTGCTTTGTTTCTGCTTATCTTCCTGCCTAATTGGATTTACCTATTTCTTTAAAGTGCTTTTTTACCTTACTGCTTTTTAATTATCTTCAATAAAAAGGATTGTTTTCCATCCAACGGTGTGGTGTTTAAAGTCAGAGGGTGTTTTCCTGTCCTGGAGTGCAACATCCTGATCCAGCCTAAGATATAGGAGGCTATCCTAGTTCGACACACGTACGTTTCTGCTGGTTATAAAGTTTACTTCTGGCACTCTGCTATATTTATGGTGGAATCACCCCAACTGAGAGTTATCTTGAACCTAACGGCTCAGATTCTCCAACAAAGGGTTATGGGCCCAGCACGATTCCGCTGCACAGCTCTACCATTGTAAACCTTGAAGAATCATCCGTAAACGTCAAACTGTATATATTTTTGCGAATAGATTGAGTTCTCAAAAATGACACAAGCTAGTAAGCTAGTTACCTCCAAGTCCTCTTCTATCAAGAATGTATTTCTTTTATTTCAATAAATATTTTTGGACCTTAAATTCTGACTCGGCAATCCTGATCCATGCTAAGATATAGAAGGCTACCTTAAAAACTCGGGCATAGACACTGAGAACTGGGAAGCCCTGGCCCTTGAGCGCTCTGGCTGGAGGTCAGCCGTGACCAGCAGTGCTGCAGAATTTGAAGAGGCACGAATGGAGGGTGAAAGGGAGAAGTGTGCCAAGAGGAAGGCGCGTCAAGCCAACCCCGACCGAGACCGCCTTCCACCTGGAAACCAATGCCCTCAATGCGGAAGAAGATGCAGAGCAAGAATAGGGCTCCACAGCCACATACGGACCCACAAGAATATTGGAAGACAATCATCCTCGGAAAACGAGGGATCACCTAAGACCATAGAAGGCTATCCTAGTACATCACATGTACATTTCCGCTGGTTATAAAGTTTACTTCTGGAGTTCTGCTATATTTATGGTGGAATCACCCCAACTGAGGGTTATCTTGAGCCTAACAGCTCTGATTCTCCAACAACGGGTTATGGGCCCAGCACGATTCTGCTGCGTAGCTCTACCGTTGGAATCCATCTGCAAAGCGTCACAACAGCAGAGTAATGGCACGTGGGATTCTTATCATGCTTTTGGGTTTAATACAGTTCTGACGTGCCATTTTTACGCGTGGTTGTAAAATCAATATGCATTCCATTCACTAAAATCTCACGAGAATGGTTGTTTGAAACTTCTGCGCAATATTAGGATTATTTGGGGGGGGGTGACTAAGGAAGCATTCGAACAGATTGGGAGGAGCCAGCTTGACGTGGTGTGATGTGTCAAAGGATAGTATTTTCCAAATGTTAGAATTGGCCGTGACGGGGTCAATATGCATGCCATCTGAATATAGAATGCATCTAGTCCAAAAAAACAAAAACCAAAACATAGGCTGAGTAGTGATATATGGTGATAAGGTCCCTTGAGAGCAAAACAAAGATGCCGTATTTCCGGAGAGGCCTTGCCTCGCTTACCTGGATGACTCGCATGTTGAGGCCGGTCTCCTGGGCCAGCTGCTCGCGGATGTGCCGAGTGGGTTTCGGGGTGGCGGCAAAGGCGGCCTTGAGGGTCTCCAGCTGCTTGGCCTTGATGGTGGTGCGGGGGCCCCTCCGCTTGGCCCCCAGGTTTTGGTCGTCGTTCTCGTTGCTGCCCACCTCCTTGTCGGAGGCATTGGCGCATTCAGAGTCCTTGGCGTCGTCCTGGCAGGGGTCCTGGGAGTCCGGAGAGAGGCTGGGGTCGCTGCCAGTGGTGACTGGAAGAGAGGGGAGCACATAGCTATATCAGGCAACCGTCCAGAGTTTGGGCCTCCGACTCCAGCTTGTCCAATGGCCCGGAATCCTGAAAGTCCAAAACACCTGGAGGACCGGTCCAGAGACGCATTGCAGACCAGGCATGGGCAAACTTCGACCCTCCAGGTGTTTTGGACTTCCAACTCTTACAGTTCCTGACAGCCAGCAAGCTTTTCTGCAGTCTTGGAGACTAGGTCTCAATGGTGTCATGGGTTCAAATGACAGGAAAGGGGATCCTGAACATTAGGAAAACATCCTGACCATAAAAGCTGTTCAAAAGAGGAACTCTCTGGCTCGGAATCTGGTGGAAGATCCTTCTTTGGAGGCTTAGAATCTGAATGGCCATCTGCGGTGGCACAAACTGGATAACCCCTTGTGCTCCTAAACTGCTGACCTGAAGGTTGGCAGTTTGAGTCTGTGAAACGGGATGTACTCCCGGGTGTCAGCTCCAGCTCCTGCCAACCTAGCAGTTCAAAAACATGCAAATGTGAGTGGCAGGAAAAGGCAAAAAGGATACTCCAAGCAGTCATGCTGGCCACACGACCAGGAGGTGTTTACAGAGGCAGGCTCCTTGGCTTGGAAATGGAGAAAGAGCATATCTCCCAGAGTCGGAAATGAGTGCCGCCTCCAGAGCCGGAAATGAAAGGAGAAGCCTTTGCCTTTGTTTGTGTATTTGTGTCTCAGTGTATGTCATTGTAACAAGGCATTGAATGTTTGTCTGTGTCTGTGTATATACTGTAATATGCTCCGAGTCCTCTTGGAGAGATGGGAGGAATATAAATAGTCTTGTTGGTGTTGTTATTACTATTATATTGTTATTATCTGTTTTGTTTTGATTGTGCTTTTGATTGTGCTTTTCCTGCATGGCAGGGGGTTGGACTAGATGGCCCACAGGGTCTCTTATTCGCAAATGCTTATGCAAATAAAAGAACACATGATGAATGGCTGTGATGGGTTGACATTCTGTTATGTTTGTATATTTTGTAGGGTTCAGAGATTATCTTACTGGAGGATTCGACAATATAGATTTCATACAGATGGATGGTGTTTAGAAATTACGTCAGCAGAGAAGTCAAGTGTTGGGCAAACTATGCTATAGAGTAACTGACAAAAAGGAAGCATTTCTTTTATATTATTATTATTATTATTATTCTGATGCAAAAACACAGCATGTCACAGCAAACAAGATATATATGCTGGATTTCGTATCACAAAATCATAAGTGGAACACTTCCCAAGCACCTATTTTTATTATTATTATTAAATTATATAATATAATAATATAATTTATTATTATTATTATTATTATTATTATTATTATTATTATTATTTAAAGCATATAAACAATGTGTTGTCAAAGGCTTTCATGGCTGGAATCACTGGGTTGTTGTGTGTTTTCTGGGCTGTATGGCCATATTCCAGAAGCATTCTCTCCTGACGTTTCACCCACATCTATGGCAGGCATCCTCAGAGGTTGTGAGGACTTCACAACTTCGGAGGATGCCTGCAATAGATGCAGGCAAAGTGTCAGGAGAGATTGCTTCTGGAACATGGCCAGACAGCCCAGAAAACACACAACAACCCAACATACAAACACTTAACACGGAATTAAAACATCAACAATCAGGGAAGTCCTAATTAAAAACCTATTCATAGTGAAACGTTTGTTTGTATTTGAGAGTTACCTGTCGTTAGAGATGTTAAGAGAAAGTATGTCGTTATGTAATTGTTGTTTAGGTCTGTTTATGGATCGATATGTTGCTTCCTTTAGGTGTGGTTTTCTTATTGTCAAATTATAAAGGGAAAGTCACACTCTCTCAACCCCAAAGGAAGGCAAATTGGACCCATTTTGTCATGAAAGGGATAAGACTGCCATAGATTAGAACAGTGTTTCTCAAGCTGGGGATCGGGATCCCGGGGGGGTGGGGTGGGATTGCGATTGGGGGTGTCAGAGGGGTCGCCAAAGACCATCAGAAAACGCAGTATTTTCTGTTGATCATGGGGGTTCTGTGTGGGGAAGTTTGGTTCAATTCCATCGTTGGTAGAGTTCAGAATGCTCTTTGATTGTAGGTGAACTATAAATCCCAGCAACTACAATTCCCAAATGTCAAGATCTGTGGGAGTTCTGTGTGCCAAGTTTGGTAGCAATGAAAATAATGTTATGGTCGGGGTCTCCACAACATGAGGAACTGTATTAAGGGGTCTTGGCATCAGGAAGGTTGAGGAACATTGGATGAACAGTACATTCCAACAACTACAACTCCAAAATGTCAAGGTCTATTTCCCCCAAACTCCACCAGTTTTCACATTTGGGCATATTGAGTATTGGTGCATAGGTTGGTCCAGATTCATCACTGACTGAGTCTACAGTGCTCTCTGGATGTTGGTGAACTACAAATCCCAAACGCAAGGTCAATACCCACCAAATCCTTCCAGTATTTTCTGTTGGTCACGGGAGTTCTGCGTGCCAAGTTTGGTTCAATTCCAACATTGGTGGCGTTCAGAATGCTCATTGATTGTAGGTGAACTACAAATCCCAGCAATTACAACTCCCAAATGTCAAGGTCTATTTCCCCCAAACTCCACCAGTGTTCACATTTGGGCATATTGAGTATTGGTGCCTAGCTTGGTCCAGATCCATCATTGTTGAGTCCACAGTGCTCTCTGGATGTTGGTGAACTACAAATCCCAAACTCAAGATCAATACCCACCAAATCCTTCCAGTATTTTCTGTTGGTCATGGGGGTGCCGTGTGCCAAGTTTGGTTCAATTCCATCATTGGCAGAGTTCAGAATGCTCTTTGATTGGAGATGAACTACAAATCCCACCAACTACAACTCCCAAATGTTAAGATCTATGGGAGTTCTGTGTGCCAAGTTTGGTAGCAATGAAAATAATGTTATGGTTGGGGGTCACCACAACATGAGGAACTGTATTAAGGGGTCGCAGCATCAGAAAGGTTGAGAAACATTGGATTAGAAACTATTCTAATCCGCCTTTTAAGTAAGTGTTTTCGACATTCCTGAGATGAAGCCATTGGGTCTGGAAAACAATTTTCTTACTCCTTTGTTTCTCTCCTCCTTTCTTTGCTTAAGAGGGGAGGAAATAGCACCCCAGTTTTCTCAGGGAATCGCAAGAGGCCTCCACACTTTGCACGTGGGCCGTGACACTCGGGTGCCAACTCCACACCAAACACACGTCTGACACAAGGTGTGCGTCTCTCCCTCTCCTCCTCTGATCTCCTCCCGAAAATGGAAATCCCATCTTCAGGGAAAAGGAAGAGATCCATAGGCTCCCAGCAGGTTGGCATCCAAGTGTGGACTGTAAACTCTGCAGATAGGCCTTCTTCCCTCTGATGTGTGGGCCTCCAGAGGCTCTCAGCCCCCCAGGAGCAAATGAAGGGAGAAGAGGCGCCTTTCATCCTGTGGATTGCAAGCTGCAAATATTTGCTCGACTACCACGCTGGCATTTCTTTCCCTTCCTTTCCCTGAGTTTGTGGAGGCTTTCATCCCTATCACGGCAAGGAAGGTGAGAACTTCCCCGTTGGCAAGCGAGAAGAAGAGCCAGCCTTTGCTTTCCCCCAAATATGAGGCTTCTTTGAAGGGAATAGAAGAAAGGAAGAGAGGGAGGGAGGGAGGAGAGAAGGAAGAGGAAGGGAGGGAAGGAGGAAGAGAGGGAGGGTGGGATAGAGGAAAGAAGGAAGGAAGGAAGGAAGGATGACAGAATGGGGGAGAGGGAGAGAGGGATAGAGGAAGAAATAAAGAGGATGGAAAGAAGAAAGGAAAGAAGGGAGGGAAGGAGGAAGACAGGAGGGGAGGGAGGAAGAGGAAGAAAGGATAAAAAGGAAGGAAGGAGAGAAAGAAGGAAAGAAGGGAGGAAGGAAAGGAGGAAGGGAAGGAAGGGAAGAAGGAAGGAAGGGAGGGATAGAGGAAGGAATAAATAAAAGAGATGGAAGGAAGGGAGGAAAGGAAGGAAGGAAGGAAGGGAGGGAGGTAAAGAGGGAGGGAAGGAGGAGAAGGAAGGAAGGGAGGGATAGAGGAAGAAAGAATAAAGAGGATGGAAGGAAGGGAGAAGAAAGGAAGAGAAGGATAGAGGAAGGAAGAAATAAAAGAGAAGGAAGGAAGAAGAAGGAAAGAAGGAAGGGAGGATAGAAGGAAGAAGAAGGAAGGAGGAAGATAGAGGAAGGAAGGAAGAAGAAGGAAGAGGAAGAAGGAAGGGAAGGAGGAAAGAAGGGAGGGAGGAAGAGGGAGAAGAAATAAAAAGGAAGGAAGGAAGGGAGAAAGGAAGGGGGAAGGAAGAGAGGAAGGGAAGAAGGAAGGAAGGAAGGATAAAAGGAAGGAAGAGAGGAAGGAAAGAAGAATAAATGGAAGATGAAGGGGAAGAAGGGAGGGAGGGAGGGAGGGCGAGGAAGGAAGGAAGGGGAAAGGAAGGGGAGGAAGGAAAGAGAGGAAGAAGGAGAAAGGAAGGAAGAATGAAAGGAAGGAAGAGAGGAAGGAAAGAGGAATAAATGGAAGATGAAGGGAAAGAAGGAGGGAGGGAGGGCTAGAGGAAGGAAGGAAGAAAAGAAGGAAGGAAAAGGGAGAAAGAAGGGGGAGGGAAGGAAAGAGGAAGGAAAGGAGAGGAAGGAAAAGGAGGAAGAGGAAGGAAAGAGAAGAGGAAAAGGAAGAGAAGGGGAAAGAGGGAGGGAGGGCTACAGGAAGGAAGGAAGAAAGAGAAAGGAAGGAAGGAAGATGAAGGAAGAGAGGAAGGGAGGGAAGGAGGAAGAGAGAGAGGGAGGAAAGGAAGAAGAGGGGGAGGGAGATAGGAAGGAAGGAAGGAAGGAAAGGAGTGCAAAGGAGGAAGGAAAAGGGGAAGGAAAAAGGGAAGGGAAGGGAGAGGCTGGACAAAATGTAAAGATAGTACTTAAGGGCAGCTAAATAAAAGAATATCACTCATGTGGTCTCTTCTAACTCTATTATTCTTTGATTCTGGGACTCCCATATCTTTGCAGAATCTGTGGATACCTGAAACTGCCGATAATAGTGAACCCTACATTTGGGGCATACCATAGAACGGCACTAGAAAGGCTCACAAACACTTCCAGGATGTGTATATTGAATATTTTTCGGAGCATCAGTCAGTGGATACTGAATAGGTGGATAAGGGGTTGTGTTGTACTTGGACTGTTGTATTTCTCCCATTCTAGGCAGGGCCAGCCCTGGTTAGGCCTTGGATGGGACCGAGGTGCTGAAGGCCACCTTTCAGACAAGCTGCTTGTCTAATTTTGGAATCCACAAGAGAGAGCGGTCCCTGTCTGTCGCTCTGCGAAGAGCCCCCTCCCTCCTCACCTGAGTGCAAACTGTTCTCTTTGGCAGTGTTGCTGTTGCTCAGGTAATCTTCTTTGCAGACGAACTTGTTCTCATCGATGATGTAGAGCTCCTCGCCGGTGGAGAGCTGCTTGTTGCACATCATGCACGTGAAACAGTTCAAGTGAAAGACTTTGCTCCTGGCTCGGCGCACCAAGTCGCTGGGGGAGATGCCTTGTGCACAGCCGGCGCACTTGGTCCCAAAACACCTGGAGACACAAAGAGGCCGGAGGTTAGGAAGGCAGAAGGAGGATTTATAGTTCATCTATGATCAAAGAGCATTAGGAACCCCACCAACGATAGAATGGGGCCAAACTTCCCACACAAAACCCCCAAGACAGACAGAAAAGACTGTGTTTTTCTGCCTTTCTGTTTGTACCACAGCGAAGTAGGCCTTTTTAGAGCTGGAGAAGGGAGAAAGAGGAATGGAAAGGAAAGGAGGAAAAGGAAGGAAGAAGGAGCCACAAAGAGAGCTACCTTGCCACAGAGAGACATTGGAATTAGGCATTCCCAGAGCTGGAGAAGGGAGAAAGAGGAAGGAAAGGAAAGGAAAGGGAAGGGAAGGAGAAAGGGAAGGAAAAGGAAGGAAGGAAGGAGCCACAAAGAGAGCTACCTTGCCACAGAGAGGCATTGTGAAGTAGGCCTTTTCAGAGCTGGAAAAGGGAGAAAGAGGAAGGAAAGGGAAGGGAAGGGAAGAGAAGGGAAGGAGAAAGGGAAGGAAATTAAAGGAAGGAAGGAAGGAAGGAGCCACAAAGAGAGCTACCTTGCCACAGAGAGGCATTGTGAAGTAGGCCTTTTCAGAGCTGGAAAAGGGAGAAAGAGGAAGGAAAGGGAAGGGAAGAGAAGGGAAGGAGAAAGGGAAGGAAATTAAAGGAAGGAAGGAAGGAAGGAAGGAAGGAAGGAAGGAAGGAAGGAAGGAGCCACAAAGAGAGCTACCTTGCCACAGAGAGGCATTGTGAAGTAGGCCTTTTCAGAGCTGGAGAAGGGAGAAAGAGGAAGGAAAGGAAAGGGAAGGGAAGAGAAGGAGAAAGGGAAGGAAATGAAAGGAAGGAAGGAGCCACAAAGAGAGCTACCTTGCCACAGAGAGGCATTGTGAAGTAGGTCTTTTCAGAGCTGGAAAAGGGAGAAAGAGGAAGGAAAGGAAAGGGAAGGGAAGGGAAGAGAAGGGAAGGAGAAAAGGAAGGAAATTAAAGGAAGGAAGGAAGGAAGGAAGGAAGGAAGGAAGGAAGGAAGGAAGGAGCCACAAAGAGAGCTACCTTGCCACAGAGAGACATTGTGAAGTAGGCCTTTGCAGAGCTGGAGAAGGGAGAAAGAGGAAGGAAAGGAAAGGGAAGGGAAGGGAAGGAGAAAGGGAAGGGAGGAAATGGAAGGGAGGAAATGGAAGGGAGGAAATGGAAGGGAGGAAAAGGAAGAAAGGAGCCACAAAATGAGCTACCTTGCCACAGAGAGACATTATGAAGTAGGCCTCAGAGCTGGAGAAGGGAGAAAGAGGATGGAAAGGAAAGGAAAAGGAAGAAAGAAAGAAAGAAAGAAAGAGAAAAACATTACATACAACCCTTAGAAACGGCTTCACACAGCATTAAAAGCCCATCCCAGTCAGTTTCTACAAGCCAGGGAGCATTAAAATGTCTTAATATAGTGACTGAAGGAAAGCAGGGACGGGGCCAAGCGGGCTTCCCTTGGAAGGGAGCTGAGCCATGAACTCCAATCCTTACTGATTCTAAATGTCAAAATTGGATGGTTGTAAGTTTTTCAAGCTCTCCTGACGTTTCGCCTGGATCTATGGCAGGCAACCTCAGAGGTTGTGAGGTCTGCTGGAAACTAGGAAAATTGGGTTTATATATCTGTGGAATGATGTCCAGGGTGGGAGAAAGAACTCTTGTCTGTTGGAGGGAGATGTGAATGTTGCCATTGGCCATCTTGATTACCATCCCAACAAAGGATGTCCCCAGGCAGAGAGCAGCCAGGCACTGAAGCTGGTTTATATATTGTCCAGGGTGGGAGAAAGAACTCTTGTCTGTTGGAGGTAGGTGTGAATGTTTCAATTGGACACCCTGATTAGCATTTAATGGCCTAGCAGTTTCAAGGTGTAGCTTCTTACTGCCTTGGGGAATCCTTTGTTGAGAGGTGATTAGCTGTCAAACTTGTCACCTTCTGGATTTGAACTTCAGTTCCCAGAATCCTTAGCCATTGGACAAGAAAGTTAGAGCTTCTGGGAATTGGAGGCCCAAACATCTGGAGGGCCACAGGTTGGACACCACGGCATCTAAAGTAAACACATGTGGTACTGGTCTGTAATATGCGTGTAAGAACCAAAGTGACCTTTCTTGCAGCATATTCAAGAAAACCCTTCCATCCCAATATATCCCAGGATCCTAGAGAGGGAAGAGAACCCATAGGTCATGATGGAGGAGCCCCAACCAGAGATCCTAGATCTTCAACCTCTTTTGAGAAGGTCTAGAGAAAGGGACCCCACTATCTCTTGGTCCATTGGTTTCTTTCCAACACCTTCTTGAACTTCTTTTCCATCCCCAGCTCAACCTTCCCTCCTTTCTTTTGTTTTGCATCCTTCTGATCATCCTCATTGTTCTCCGAACTTCCTCCAACTTCTCAACATCCTTCTGAAAACAAGTAACCAAACCCAATACTCGAATATGAGGCCTAACAGAGAATATAGTAGGATTGTATTATTTAATGAGGGTACATCCGAACTTATTGAAAAGTCCTAGACGTTGCCCTTTTTATGGTTCGATGTCGGGATGACATAAACCAACCAGGGAAGCTGATACAACAAGTCTCCAAGTGTACAGACAATAGTTTGGGATGAAAAACACACACCATATTTCTTCAATTCTAAGACACAGTTTTGCCTCTTAAGAATGGGGTGTTCCTTAGAATCACAGCTGCACATACATATTATCTATATAAATAAAAATGTAATGTTCGTTTGTAGGGTTAACATAATTCAAAAAGCACTTGATGAATTGACACCAAATTTGGACACTACACCCCTAACAGACCAACAAGTGACCATCACTAATAAACCCCTCCAAAACACAGCGGAAAGGGCTTAAACACCCCAAAAAGTTAAATGACGATACAGCACATGCATGGAAACAACAGCTCTCAGCATCTCCTTCAACAGGCCCTTTAGGGGAGGAGGATGCACCAAATGCACTGCTTTCAAGATGTAAGCTTGCTTCTCCTTTTTCTCTTTGAGTGCATCCCAATCCGTACATATTTCCGATTTCCTATTCCCAAAATGCAACTCCCAGAAATCCTCCAGATAGATGAGATATATAGATTAGATAGAGATAGATAGTAGGTAGGTAGATCGATCAGGAGGACTGCTGGGAGTTACAGTCCAAGAATAAGTAGAGAAGGAAGAAAGGAGAGAAAGAAAAAGGGAGGGGAAGGAAGGAAGGCAGGCAGGCAGGAAGGAAGGAAGGAAGGAGAGAGGGAAAGAAAAATAGGGAGGGAAGGAAGGAAGGAAGGAAGGAAGGAAGGAAAGAAGGAAGGAAGGAAGGAAAGAGGGAAGGAAGGAAGGAAGGAAAGAAGGAAGGAAGGAAGGAAGGAAGGAGGGAAAGAAGGAAGGAGAAAAAGAAAGAAAAAAGGGAAGGAAGGAAAGAAAGGAGGAAGGAGAGAAAGAAGGAAGGAAGGTTGGACACAGCAACACGTAGCGGGTACAGCTAGTATATGTATGTATGTATGTTGTATGTATGTATAGAGAGAGACTTTTTCCCTTTTTTTACTGGTGTTCGAATTCGTGTGCATCTTACAATCGGTAGCGTCTTACAATCAAAGAAATATTGTATATATGGATTTTCAAAACAGATCACAAAGAACAGGAACAAAATCAAAACAGCGACGGATGAAAACACCGTAAGAAACACTTCCATTAAAAAATGAATAAGGAGATACAACAATGTTTCTCAACCTGGGGGTCGCCAAAGACCATCAGAAAACACTGTATTTTCGGTCGGTCATGGGGGTCCTGTGTGGGAAGTTTGGCCTAATTTTATCGTTGGTAGGGTTCAGAATGCTCTTTGATTGTAGGTGAACTATAAATCCCAGCAACTACAACTCCCAAATGTCAAGGTCTATTTTCCCCAAACTCCACCAGTGTTCATATTTGGGCATATTGAGGATTTGTGCCAAGTTTGGTCCAGATCCATCACTACTTCAGTCCACGGTGAACTACAACTTCCAAACTCAAGGTCAATGCCCACTAGACCCTTCCAGTATTTTCTGTTGGTCATGGGAGTTCTCTGTGCCAAGTTTGGTTCTATCCATCCAGGGCCGTAGCCAGAAAAAAATTTCGGGGAGGGTTGACAATTTCGGGGGGGGGGGGGGGGGGGGGTTGAAAATTTTGGGGAGGGTTGAAAATTTGGGGGGGGGGGTTGAAACCTGCCTCCTAGCTCACGCTGAAGCAAAGAGCACAGCAGGGGGCAGAGCAACCTTCAATAACCTGCAGCTCCACCCCTGTCAACCACCTCCACCAAGTCTGGCCTCCTTAATGAGAGCATTCAACACACACACACCCAACTTGGTTGCTTCACTACATCGGCTATTGCTGCAAGTAATGACAGTGTGAATAAATTGTCAATATTTGCTTGAGATAGTGCTTACAGTTCTGGAGGGACTCTTAATTTTTTGCATCTCATAGACTTAGCATGGGGATTTGGTTAACCAGTTAAAATTCATGAGTAAACCAGGTTTTTTTAAAAAAAAATCTGAAACATTTCGGGGGGGGGGGGGGGGTTGAACCCCTAAAACCACCCCCTCACTACAGGCCTGATTCCATCATTGGTGGAGTTCAGAATGCTCTTTGATTGTAGGTTAACTATAAATCCCAGCAACTACAACTCCCAAATGACAAATCAATCCCCCACCAACCCCACCAGTATTGAAATTTGGGTGTATCGAGTATTTGGTCCAGTTAATGAAAATACATCCTGCCAATCAGATATTTACATTATGATTCATAACAGTAGCAAAATGACAGTTATGAAATAGCAACGAAAATAATGTTATGGTTGGGGGTCACCACAACATGAGGAACTGTATGAAGGGGTCACGGCACTAGGAATGTTGAGAATCACGGATATATATATATATATATATATATATATAGAGAGAGAGAGAGAGAGAGAGAGAGAGAGCCTTTCCCCCCTGTTGTTGGTATTGAAATTAGTGTGCATCTTACAAT